TCGACCTTTTAAAGATTCAACGCCATCGTCAATCATTGATGTTTATATGTCATACTTAACTGACCTTGAAAGAATACATCTAGTTGATAATGGTATTTCTGTTTCTAGCCGTCGACGAAATCCGATCTTTGACTATGTATCATTTTTGCGTCATGTTAGCATGGGAAGTCTTTACACCATAGTTCTTAAATGGACAGATCGGACACAAACTTCCCTTTCTACTAATTCAAAACGGTAGTTTAAGATTAATATACTTTTTCTTGGCTTAATAAAATATAAATTTGATGTAATGCGTATGTATATATTTTTACTTTCTCTCTAGGCGTAGTCATAACACAGAACCAAGTTTGGTAGTGTATCAAACGTTATGCAGATTGTTCTTCAGTCGACGTTCGAGCATTAGGTCTTTATCTCTCGACTGGGGTGACATGGAAATCTGGAAAGCATATCCGCTGCTACTCTACTCGGCTGGTATAGACACTTACCTGGCCAAATTAAGACAATTCTCCATTCACTATATAACTGATTGGTCAATATTTGGTTACTTAGCCAAATACGCCAGAAATATTGAAAACTTACAGGTTCTTGGTTATTCTTTTAATATTCCTCCACATCCTGAGGATGAACAAAATTTAGCATCCTTGATAAAAATTCAAAAGAATTTATTACACTTTAAATTATTCGGATATGCAACATATCCTATTTTAACTCTTATTTCATTGGGGGCTCAAGCAAAATCTTTAATATCCGTGGAAATTAGTTACATTCATTTTACTTCAACCATGCTACAAGAGCCAACTTTCGAAGGATTGGCTGCATGTAGAAATCTTGAAGAGTTAACTATCTTGAATTGTTTGAATGCCACTGAAGAAATTTTATCTCCATTAGTATGTGCTACATTTCCATCTCTTCGTAAAATACATATAGTAGAATCAACATACGGATGGGATAATGTAGTAGTTTCATTGATTCATAATAATCCTACAAATTTAGAAGAAGTTTATTATAAACCAGTAGACAATCAACATCATCACATAATGTCTCCAACAATAATTGAATCAGTTGCTCAATGTTGTTCTCGAATAGTGCGACTTGGTGTCCCTATAGGTACATTACAGATAAGTCATTTGACTGATATCCTTACATATCCATATTGTCAACTTCGAAGCCTTAGTATATTTCGAATGGATCGAGTATCTTGGGATAATGAAGAATTGTGGAGTGGGTTGGGCAGTTTAATGCCAACTACATTAAGGCATCTTAACATTTGGATTTATTTAGGGGATACACCTATGCAATTGTTTTTACAAAATACTCAGGCACCTTTAGAAACTTTATATGTTAGATGGTGGACTCATTATCTTGGATATGATTATCAATTAGTTGGCGCCTATTTAAAAGATAAAAAAGTGGGGATTTCGGAATTTTTAAGGCATGTTATATAATAAAGAGTATATATATAATTTTATTTATAGTGTGTTATTTGCGTTAGATAGTTATATTGTAAAAATATATATAATACGTAGAGGTCCGATGTTCGAGTATATGATTATTTCATTTGAATATATTTTTTATTCACCGATTAATTCAGTGAATATTCGGTGATATCGGTGATACAAAGGAATAAATTAAATTTTGTAAATTAAAAATAACGATGCAACTTTAATCATTTGAGTAATAGGGTCATTTAAATAAACTTAGGGCGTTCTCGAGCCTCAACCTCGATGCGATTAGCTCATAATCGTAATCGAGCATAACCATAATTATATTTTTGATAGCGAAACGAGTAAGCAAATTAAAAAGTAATCAAAGTTTGCACAAACGAATTGTAATTGATATTTGGATGATCCATTAATATTTTATCAAATGTCATTATCACTACGTCTAGTTCGCATGTTGCATGATAAGGTTACTTGTACGATCTTTTGGAATACTCAATTTATTGTAATTTTACCATGCCTACAAATGTTTGTAAATTGAAATGTTAAACTCTCGTATTATTTGTTTACTAATAAAAATATGTTAATTACATAATAGACTTTATTAAACTACAATGTTTTATTTAAATATTCATTAAGATAATAAACACATTTGACCCTTAAAATATTTTCCGCCTTTGAGAACATTCTTAATTTGATAAATAATCGTATATTCGAACATCCAAATATTCATCGAATATTCGGATAATTATTCAACGGATCAGGCCTCTAGTTATGAATTCTGTAGTCTAGCGTGTAACTTGAAAATATGAAGTAACTAAAAGTATATATCGAATATCATCGAATAAATCGGAATAAAATAGGTTTGATCAAGTGAATATCCGAATCGCTAGTTTTTTGACCAGATCAGATCTCTATATGATCGTAGCCTTCTTCGCGTTTAATGATTATACGAATGGAATCTACTGTTTTTTTTTTCGTTTCTAATCGCAGAAGGAGCTTTACCTAACTAGACCATAATCTTATGCATCTTTAAAACTTTTTTATAGTAACGTATCAACTGGATTGTCAATGATAAATATTTCAGATATTTCGACTCCAATCGATAAAATCGATTTACTCGACTAAGTCGACCGATTATTAAAACGTCGACTTAGTCGAGTCGATTATAGTTTCATATAATAGCCAGCCAGGGAAGACAGCAAACACTAAGTACGATCGGGAAAAGTCGGAGTGCATATCTTCATATATTACGAACGATCGATTTGAAATAGTTAAGTCGATTGGCCACAACACTAACGCCAATTATTATTTTTCGTTGATGATCTACAGATACGCGTTTTCTAAAAATAGAGTTTGAACGTGTATATAAAGAGTCTATTCTCCATTGGCAGTTTCTATTTTCGTTTCTTTTTTTAAAAAACTAAAGGTGGACGTTTTTGCTACTAAGTGTTCATTAATGCGTTTCGTTTTAAAAATACGTGAGTGCTAGTTGTGCCGTCTATTTATAAATTATGTATAGAGATCTCCCTAAATGCACTCCCCTCGGAATCATAGTAAACCATTTCAAAAATATGCGCTTAGAGAAGAGATGGTATTCATCTATATAGAGAAAATATATAGTGTTATTATAAGCTGGGACCAGAATATACTGTGTGCTTAAAGAAATTTTACATAGAGACACAGTTATGAAAGGTGCACTTCTCTCTGTATTTAATGCAGAGACGGTGAAAATATTTATTAACATATATTTTCATTTTATTGCCTCAATTACGGTTCTAAAAATGTTTAGCAATAATGTTCCAAATCTTGGATTTTTTGTTTACGAAAGTTATATTTAAAAGTTTGGATTACAATTATTTTAATACAGAAAAATAAGAATTATATTATGATTATTTAAGGTAACAAATATATATATTTTTTTGTTTCTTGTTATAATATATAGTTGCAGATTAGATATATTATACAAAATTTTTGCTAACAAGTTGGCTTTACAAAACATATATATATAATTATTACAGCATTTAATTAAAATAATATTGGTATTAATAAATACCGCAGCTGATGCTGAAATTTTATTGTTTTTTTTAGAATTTGGTTAGAATTAATAAAGTGTATATGTGAATTTTAGCAGGGCTTATATTTTCAAATTGAGATCTTTAATTTTAGCATTAGCATAAGCTGCAACAATAAATACCAAATTTTTTATTAAATTTGGTGCCTTATATTTTTTTGAATGTTTTATTTATTTTTGCTTTTTTTTATATAAGCAAAACTTTTAGTTAGTATTTTATACAATTCAATATATATATATATACTTAATAATTAATTAATTTAATTAGGTTGTGTTCACAGAATTTTAAATGGCTATTTAACCGAATTAAAGGTTGGTTCTACTATAAGCTATATTAATTTAAGGATTTCTAATTGTTTTTCTTTTATGGGTATAATACCCGGCATAAGAAAACAGGAAACAAACAAAAGTCGTTAGTATCTCAAAACTTTATTAGAAAACCTGATATAGATATCTTAAAATAAAAATGTTTAGCACTTAGTTTTATATATTTAACTCTAACTTACCCTAACCTAATATATAGTACATTTTTTCTTATGCCGGATACTATACTTTATAGAGATTTTTAACTAATTTCATATTAATTATACCAGTAGTTATTAATAACTATATTAATTTTTTTATTACAATTTAGGGTTTGGGTGCAGTTTAAAATAAAATGAAAAGGGATTAAATATAGTATAAATAAGCAAATATAATTATAAAAATATAATTGGCTAGTTTTATACAAACTTAATAAATTGGTTCACATAACCGGCCAGGTCAAATTTACAAAACTCGAAGAAAAATTTTAAATATATTTACTATCCGGATGAGCTTTTTAAAAAAATCATATATGTATTTATATATATAATTTTTTGAAAATAAAATTAAAAGCGGGTTGCCGGATTTTCGGGTTACTTTTAAAATTTTTATGTTATAAGAACCAATTTATTATGTTTGTAAAGCCTAATATGTAAATATTTTAAATGTTGGTTTTTAATATATATAATATTTATAAATAGTTTAACCTAATCTAAGTTATATTTGTTCGGTTTAAGTCGCAAATTAACTAGTTTGAGCTTTTATTCTTGCATGTAATTTGGTTATATACAATCTCAGTTTACTTTAATATGGTCTGCATTAATGTTTACAACCAAAATTAATAAAAAAGATATAAGCAAGGTCTTATCTTTATGCTAAAAAAAATAATAATTATATTTGTTCATCTGTACTAAATTTTATTTCTAAAAAAACATTTTTATTTAGTACTCTCGAACCTGGATACTTATTGAATTTTTTTGAAACATAGCATTCTAGTTATCAATAACCATTAGCACAAGTTAAAAATATCTATTCTATAATAAAAAAAATTGTTTATTAAGTGTGCCACAATATATAGCACAAATTTACTTGTTTTTAATGTTATACTTTGTAAAAGTATTGAAAAAAATACTTATAACTATTTTGCTTTCTTGAAGAATATATATAAACCAGCTTTATTATAATTAATTAAGAGTAGTATGATTAAGCTGGGATATTAGAAAAGAAAATCTTCTACTTCCTCTTCCACTGCTACTACTACTAGCAGAATTTTGTCTAGTTCCAACTGTTCCCAATTTTGATACAATCTTAAAAACCTCATATTCATCAACACTAAACCTATCATGATTAGTAATCATTAAAGGCCTCTCATAGGATTGCCGTTTACATGAACAACCTAATTCGACATTAAAATTGGAATGAGTTCCACCCATAACCAAATCACCACTACCAAAGCATGCCCCTATAGCTTGTGAACAAAGCACAGCTCTCGAAGGTTCTTGAACCCTTGAGAGTAAAGCTGCTTTGATATCTTCACCATCACCCAAAGAAAATAAGAAACTGTCCTTTGTATTTCCCCATTTATTCGTCGAATCCCAATTTAATGGATTATACCCACCAATCAAATGTCCTGATCCATGAATTTTCATAACTAGAACAGTCGCACCTTGGAAATCACATCGATTATGGAAGGCCTGTGGAGAGAATCCATCTCGAGTTCCACGAACCAATAATTTAAATTCATAAGGAATATTTGAATATTCATAAGGAATACTGGTAGTATTGTAAAACGCATTTAAGTCATTTCTATCGATCCAACTAGAAATCAAAGCGGCATGTCTAGAACGTAATAAATTAGATTCAATTCCTCCACGCCTAGAGGGCATTAATGAGAGAGGTCGCGGACAATCCGGTACCATATGATATCTCATTACATCTTCGAATAAAGCTTTAGGTATAATATCTCTATATGGCATTATTCTACTATGAAAATCATTTGAAGAAATTTGAAATATTCGAACCAACGGGATACATTGTTGTATTGTTGCTTGTAAACTACTTAAATGTTCAGATTGCCATTGAGAAATATCCAATGAAGTTAAATCAATAGTTGATGAAAATGAAGCAGCAGTTTTAGCAATTCCCCATTTAATAAGATAATCCCAAACATCAATTTCATCCAATTGTAGATCATCTCGTTGAAATACTCTTAATAGAACATTAATATTAATAGAAAGATAATCATCAGGATCAAATAATAAAGAAGGATTTTTACATATTCTTGCAACACAATATTCTTGAAGTCTCTTTAGACGGTCATTTTGAAAAACGGTGCGACGCACCAAATCAAAATTGTCTTCCATCCATTGAACTTTATATGTAACAAGATGTTGTTGAATGTAACCGAATAAATCGTGGAGGATTAATTCATCTGCAGCCATTAATAAATTTAGAATATCTACACCATCATGTTTATCTAAAGCTATTCTACCCGTATAAATATATCTATAAAAATTTCTTTATAAATTAATCATTAAGAATGAAAAAAAGAACAAAAGACATCATTTTAATTACCTAAGTACAACTTCAAAAACTTCGGCTGAAACATTAGGCTTAGAAAAAATAATAATTCCATCTTCTTGTTTAACCCAAGTCTCAGATAAAGCTGTTTGAAAATATGGACATCTCGCTTTTAAAATTCCAGAATGAGCTCGAAATGATTTTGTATTAGGTTCTTCACCAGCCTGGATTACCACATTATAGTCGATACCTTTTTCTAATAATTGTGTTAAATCTCGTAATAATATAGTAGTGAAATCTGTCATCTGTTAGTAAATGATAGTAAAAAAAAAAGTACAGTAAAAAAAAAGATGTACAATATATAATGTGAATGTGATGTTTGTTTAAAAAATAAAAAAAAAGTTTCTTCTAATTCTCCTGAAATGTTTAAGTGAAGTTTAAATGATTTCGCTCGTTCTTTATTAATAATAATTAATCTATGTGTGAAAAAAATACCGAATTAAAAGATCGTTCTCTTTTTGTGTAAATTAATCCAAAAAAATCCTTTGTTCGTGAAACAATGTCAAAAAAGGAACGTTAAAACAAAAAAAAAATGGAAAAACCGTTCTAAAATGAATGTATATGTAATATTTTTCTTTTTTGTAAAGGTCAATCGATGATCTCTCTCGAAAGAAATTTAAGGAAACGAGTTTGATAACGATCGATGAACCTTTTTTTCAATATATATTTATTAATTATGAATTATTATGCGAATCAATGTAGATGATTTATATTACCAATAAACTGCGGTTCAAAATTAAAAATGGTTTGTTTGTTTTTGTAAAAAAAAAAAACCCCCAAAATAGAATTATTTGAATCATGAAATTTGATCAACAGGAGAAAAAGGTCTCTCCGTTTAAATCTTATAAACCTGACTTATTTGTAATTTCCGACGAATGTTTGAATCTATAATATTTATGGATCACGGGAATTGATCCTATCCTTTTTTGGATCTCTGGTTTATAGGATAACCTGCATATTTCAATCTTAGAAATTGGATAACTTAGAACTTTCCGAGTTAATATCGATATCGATATCATGCGGTTTGAGAAACCGATAACAAAGAAATTTGCATTTTTTTTTTTGGTCAGATAATAAAACAGTAATCGCATTTATGCATGCACGACATTATTCACGCAATTAAACGTCGTACTAATATAAATACTACAACATAAATGAAGCATTCATATATGTACAACGTTGTCCAATAAGAATTTGAATGTATTTAAGTTTACACTCGAGGATCACTTCGAAAATAATCCTTAATCATTCTTTTACCATTAAAAAAAAAAAAAAACGCTTTCATTGAAAGATAAAATGAGTGGTACTGTAGTTTCACCCGATATTCTTAAAGTTCTTTCACTTTCTCCTGAAGAATACAGAAAAAGAAAGGTAGCTTTAATCACCGGTAAATAAGTACTTTTATGAATAAATGTTGATGCTTCAATCCAAACTTTTAATGATACGCAATACATAAAGCTAACTGGAAATTTTTGTAGGTATTACCGGTCAGGATGGATCTTATCTCACCGAATTACTTTTATCGAAAGGATACACCGTTCATGGAATTATCCGTCGTTCATCGTCCTTTAATACAGGAAGAATCACACATCTTTATAAAGATCAACACGAACGTAAGCTTAAATGAATCATCTAGAATGTAGCATATATTCGTCATTCGAATTGGCAATTTACATCTAGCGGAAGATATATTTTATAAAACATTATTACAATCATTTTGATCATCAAGTAATAATAATCGAAATTATTCCTTATTTAGATCCAAAGATGGTTCTTCACTATGGTGATTTGACTGATTCAACCAATCTTGTGCATATCGTATCACAGGTTCTTCCAACAGAAATCTATAATTTGGGTGCACAATCTCATGTAAAAGTTTCCTTTGACATGGCCGAGTATACTGTAAGTGTAATGAACATTTTATATTTATATTCGATGAAACGCATTCACATTTAATAAACCGACATCTGATTTTATCCAAAAACTAGGGTGATGTTGACGGATTGGGTACTTTACGTTTATTAGATGCCATACGAACAGTTGGCCTTACAAATCATGCTAGATTTTATCAGGTATAAATCTTATTTCAATTACTAATATTATGGTAAATTTGTTCATAACAATAATTTATATTTGATTAATCAAAATATTTATCTTTATAGGCATCCACCTCCGAGCTTTATGGAAAAGTTGTGGAAACTCCTCAATCGGAAACTACACCCTTTTATCCTCGTTCACCGTATGGTGTTGCAAAATTATATGCTTATTGGATAGTTGTTAATTACCGTGAAGCCTACAACATGTATGCCTGTAATGGTATTCTTTTTAATCATGAATCTCCTCGTCGTGGTCGTACTTTTGTAACACGAAAGATTTCACGTGCCGTAGCCGAAATTCATCTTGGTAAACAAGAATGTCTTTGGCTTGGTAATCTCGATGCAAAACGTGATTGGGGACATGCAAGAGACTATGTCGGTTAGTTAATAAACATACATTAGAAGTTATAATTAAAGAAAAATCGATTTAATTTTTTTTGTTTTTTCTTAAAAATAGAGGGAATGTGGTTGATGTTGCAACAAGAATGTCCGGATGACTATGTCCTTGCGACAGGTGAAACTCATACTGTCCGTGAATTCGTAGAAAAGTCATTCGCTGTGATTAACAAGACCATCGTTTGGGAAGGTGAAGGTGAAGAAATTGTTGGTCGTGAAAAGGACACAAACATCGTTCGTGTGCGAGTTGATCCAAAGTATTTCCGTCCTACCGAGGTAGATTTGTTACTTGGCAGTCCTGAAAAAGCGAATAGACAACTTAGTTGGCAACGAAAAGTGGACTTTGATTCTTTGGTGAAAGAAATGGTTTTAGCTGATATCGACGGAGCCCGATCAAATTCGGAGAATTAAAAAAGATCCATTGTTTATTTATTCTGTACACGTTTTTTTCGTTTACATTTTCTTGTTTACATTTATTAGAAATAAATAATAATGTTACACTTATTATAATATTAATTTGAGGTAATACACGGTTCTCACTGGACAATAAAATGTCTTTTTGATAACCTTCTAATAATAATACGTCTAACGTTGTATTACGTAAATCTGCTGTATACAATTTCGATAATTTGTATTCAATAATCCGAGAGACATTGTTTGGAACGTCTGTGTACGTAACGATTATTTGTATTCAATAATCCAGGAGACATTGTTTGGAATGTTTGTTTACACAACTACATGTGGTGTAATTGTCCAAAAGCAAGGCATCATTAATAGCGAAAATTCATGTGAAATACATAAATAAAATGTACAAACCGAACTCGTACAGGGAAACCTCAAAATTCCGGGTCGGAAGGCATCAGAATCCTGGCCCAAGATCACCATTAAGTAAACCCAGTTGAAAATTCTTCTATAGGCTATGTTAACTAAATGCTGTGGTTACACGTCACGTGCGCATAATAGTGGATTAAAGTTTCCTGATTTAATTTATTTATTTATCCTAATTTATGTTTGAAATTTAGGTCCAGGTTGGACAACCTCTTTATTGTTGGTACTTTTTATCTATACTTAGCGATATTTATTATGATAGTGCAGTGGTATGTGAACATCAAGGTGCTATCATAAACAAAAATGGAGAATTTGATTTGTATCTGTTGCGCTATACATGGATTTTCTATTATTGTAAACGATTGTTCACTCTATTGAAAGAAATTATTGGTTTATTATAATGTCTTATTTTACTGCTATCTATTGAGATATTTTAAACACCATAATCGAGGTTCTATTTGATTAGCACAAATCAGCAACCTTAGTTATTTTGCTTTATTGATAATAATATTTAAATACAAATAATGTAACGTGTATAAAGGTAGGGTGTACTATTTTAAAATTATACATAAACATGATGGTATATTTTAAATTACAAGTTTATTCATTAAGTTAATTATTTTTAAGTATTTAAGTAAATAAATACGTATTTAGTGAGATATAAATATTTAAAGAAAATTTTATATAACGATTATTACAGGATTTAACCAATCAGAATCAGTTATTTTGTGTAACCGTGACCAATTTTTTTAAATAATATTATCTTTTTAATTTTAATAATCTTGTCAATATTCTTTATTAAGGTTTTTCAGTTAACTATATATATATTAAATACATTTTTGTAATTATTTAATTTAAGAATAGTGATTTTAGTATAATAGTTAGATTGTTATTTTTTAAGCAGTAAATTCAAAGTTCGAATTTTACTAGTAGCAGAATTTTGAAAAATTGATCTTATTTTGGTAACTTATTCATAATTTAGAATTTGTAATTCTGTAATTTTGATTGTATCAAAATTAATTTTAAAAGTATACAATGTTATATAAATAAATTTAAAAAGTATATATTTGAATAAAAAGCTTGCTGATAGAAGTGTGATGACCTAGTGAAGTGGTCAGGTTGTCAACCCCCTAAGTAGTAGGTCATGGGGCATCTGTATAAGTATGGTGTTATAGAGAGGAATGCAAACTGACAAATCAGATAATGCAAACACTAGATAAGTCTTTGTAGCCATGTAAATCTGTTGAAATTGGGTAACAAGAAGTTCATTTAGAAAGACCTGAGTAGAGAAGTAGCTGAATTTTTGACAGTTTTACTATAAAGGCTAGCTTGGAAAAACAGATACCAAGATCGTAATATCCAGTTATAATAGCCAGACAGGCAAGAACCTCTGGGTTAGGAGTTTTAGAGATACCACCAATCAGGTTGCCAAAATGAACCAAAGGAAAAGGATATCAGGCTGATCTAATATATCAATGAACTGGTTATAGTCCTATATAGGTTATCTAAATTGGGAGTTTGGTAAAAAGGCAAATAGAAAGACAGTGATATACTAAAATACCAGGATTATGCTATGAAGTAAATGCTAAGATCTAAATGAACTCTACAAGGGCATAGTGGTTTAATAGTCAATCCTGACTGCAAGTGTTAGTTCTGTCATAGCAATACTTAGATTAGTTATAAAAATGAGTACAGAAGGCTCTAGGGGGTTTATTTTAAGAATAAATTAGTTCTAAGGTTGAGACGATGATCTGAGTATCTGAGTATGATCTAGTAAGTTAACACAGGTTACAGATTCAGAGGATTTAAAGTAAAACACCTAAGCAGAAATATTAGGTATAGCAATTGGTAGGGAACCTTCGAGTGGACTTCTTAAATAGGTAATATAAAAAAGTTATATGTGTAGCCAATTGTATTCTCTTCTA